TTAAAGGGTAAAAAGTCAAAACCAAAATTAATTAAAAAACCCTTAATACGAATAAAGATTTAAGAATTATTAAGTTCAAAAGGAAAACTATTAACTCTGAGAAACAAGTCGTAAACGTCTAAAAACACCAAAAAAATAATCAATAAAAGTGGTACCCTTAGAAATATAAATTTAAGTACATTCCACTAAACCAATAAGAAATAAAAAAACAAAAAGAAACAAAAAAAAACTAATTCACTTTTTAAAATAAATATTTAACAAATATAATTTCAATATTAGAAAAATACTACATATAAAATTTTAAAAAATACTTAAAGCAAGTAAATAGTCATTTTTAATACTAACTTACCATACTATATGAGTGTTGGGGTCTGTAAAGTGTTGTGAAAGAGAAGTAAGTGTGTTCTTCAAATTATATAGATGGCGCTTATGTAGGTAAAGTTGAGGGTCAAGCTGCTATCTTTGTTGATATTAAAAATTTTTGTAAATATTATAATAATTAAATTAAATTAAATTAAAAATCCTAAAGGTTGTAATATCAATTATTTAGGGAGTTTAAGTAACTGAGCCAATTCAGAGATGTAAGTGTGCTTGAAGGAAATTAAAGTGAAGTGGTATGGAAAAAAAAAAATGTAAACTGTTTGTAATTTGAAATGTGGTGTTCTGTTGAAAAATTGTGAAAATTGTTAAAAAAAATTAAGCGAAAGATATTTGTGTGAAAATGGCAAAAAATTAAAGTAATTATGAAAAACTGAAATGTTTTAATATTAAAGTTTTAAAAGTAAAAAAAATTTCCCAACTTTTTTTGAAATGAAGTCCTTAATAAACCTCTAAAAATTCCCAGAAATTTCTCAAAAATTCCTTTAGGAAGTTAAATAAAACTTAAATTTGATGAAAGAAAATATTAAAAGTTTTAAAGTAAAAATTTCCCAACATTTTTTTGAAATGAAGTCCTTAATAAACCTCTAAAAATTCCCAGAAATTTCTCAAAAATTCCTTTAGGAAGTTAAATAAAACTTAAATTTGATGAAAGAAAATATTAAAAGTTTAATGAACTTGATTTAATTGGTATATCAAAACTAAATACTGGCTAAAGTATGGAAAATTAGAAGAAGAAGATTAAAATCTTCACTCAATTCGGGCTATAATTGAGACTTTTGAAAAGTGTTGGCTCTTTATTAGTAAAAGGAAAGGATCCAGTATTGATTAAATATACATATTTACAAAATATTTACAATAAAAATTTACAATAATTTCTCTACTCTTTTATATCCTTCATTACCCTCCAGTTAAGGTTTAAGGTAATGTTATCATGTCCAAAAGAGCTAAAAAATTATAAAGTAAAGTCAAGGCCTGCTTTTTTAATATATAAATTAATAAATTTTGGTGATACTTGGTTATCAACTTGTACATTAATTAGTTTTATGATTTCTTCCTTTAAATCGTCATTTTCAGTACATATATTTTTTATTCTGATAATTTGGCTATGAAACGTGTTTTCTATTACTTTTCTAGAGATATTAGAGTTCCAATTAATTAGTTTAATAGTAGGAAAATGGAAATTCCTTCTTTTATCAAATAATTTAATTTTGTTGTGTTTAATAATTTGCAGGTCTAGGAATTCAATAGTATCTTGATTCGTATTCGTTTTATTAAATGTTAAACTATTTGGGTAAATTTTGAATTTCTCAAAAGTAGAATTATTATTGAAAGTTATAATGTCATCTATGTATCTAAAAGTATCAGCAAATAGCTTTAATTCATTTTTATTTAAACTGAGTTGGAATTTATATTCAAATGTAAAAAGAAATAGGTTACAAATTTGTGTAGAACTGTTTGCTCCCATAGGAATTCCTCTAACTTGCTGAAAGATCTTATTATTGTATTTAATGTAGTTATTAAATAATGCACAATTCAGATAAGTATTCCATCTTTCAATAGAAAGGATGTCAAGTATGTCAGGAAAAAGTTGTGGGAGTTGCATTAAACTAGTAAAAATTTCTTCTAATGGTAGAGAAGTATAAAGGTTTTCAAAGTCATAGCAGTTAATGTTCTTGATTGTTAAACTTTTAAAACTGCTGAGAACTGGAGCATTTATATAAATAATCCAACTATAATTGTGTTGTTTGTTAACGAGTTGTTGGATTTTTTTTTTTAAATTACAGATTTTTTAGGATTTTTAATTTAATTTAATTTAATTAATATCAATATTTACAAAAAAAATTTACTATAACAAAGATAGCAGCTTGACACTCAACTTTACCTACATAAGCGCCATCTATAATAAATTGAAGAAACACACTTACTTCTCTTTCACAACACTTTTACAGACCCCAAAACTCATATAGTAGGTAAGTTAGTATTAAAAAACTTACTATTTACTTGCGTTAAGTATTTTTTTAAAAAAAATTTTATGTAGTATCTAAGTTTTTCTAAATATGAAATTATATTTTTAAATATTTATTTTAAAAAATTGTGAATTAGTTCTTTTTGTTCTTTTTGTTTTTTTATTTCTTATTGGTTTACATGGATTATTTATAGTTCTTTTATAGTTTCTTTTTATTGATATGCATATTCGTGTAGGGGAGTTTCTGTAGACAAGGATTCCTAAAATACATTGATTTCTAGATTTTTTTATTATTTTATAAAAAAATTTTTAAAAAATTTAATTTTTTAAGAAAAAGTTTAATTCTTGACTTTACTTGCTTGTTCCTCAAAAGACTTAATTAGTATTTTCCTTTTTGAACTTTTATTCTTAAATGTTAATACTTAAATGTTAACTTCTGAGTGAACCACTTTATTGGAATTACTTTTGGTTTTGACTTTTACCCTTGCCTGCATGAATGACGAAACACGAATTGAATGATTGGAGAGTTAGGTTTGGAGGCAACTTCCCCTTGATAAGTCTGTCTCCTGCCTACTCTACGATCATTCACATATGCATTTAAAAAAAAAAAAAATGTTTAATTTAATTTTAATTTCTTAAATTAGTAGATTTATTTTCACGGATAGATTTTGCACATGATTTGCTTATGCTTCTGAATTTAAATGATATTGTAGATTAGTTCGAGAATTAAATCTTTTACATGTTTGCATATTTTAAAATTATTTTAAATTATTTTGGCTTTTTTCCTTTTTTTAGAATTTAAATTTGCTTTTTTACTTTTTTACTTTTATACGTATTTGTTAAGAAATTAAATTTGTTTAAATATATATATATACGTATGTTAAACATATAAATGCATGTTCTTTTATATATATGTATTATATAATATATATATATATAATATATATATGAGAATTATTGGAAACTTCCAGTTTTTAGGTTCCTAATTTTTTTTTAAAATACCAATTATGTATTAAATATTAATGATATATTAAAATTATAAGTGTAAAATATTACTTATATAAAATACCGAATTTAGTTGACAGTTTTAAATATTTTTGACAATTTTAGTGTACATTTGCAATGATTCTTATTGCATTAATATTCTTAAATCATTTAGTTACTTGGTAATTTTAATTTATTTCTTACAAATTAATTCGCTTGGCATTTTATTTATTTATTCGGAACAAGAAATGTAATAGTAGTAAACGTAATAAGAAATAGTAGTGCCGTCACAGGGATTCAAGCTACGGACTTTCGGATTGTTATCTGAACGGGCTTTCAATCGCTATGAAACCACGCGGAAAAGAAGGGAAAATTGCTTACAGCTGAATTTTCTAAAAAAAAAGATTATTAATGGTGAATTATCTTCCTCAATTCTTTTAGACAGGCGCACTAAATATTCATTAAAATTTTGGGAACCAAAAAAGAGGTAAAATAAATTTACTGTCGCCGAGATTTGAACTCCAAATTTTCCAATTGCCTACACCACTAGAGTATGCAGTAGGAAACGCGAAAATCCCTTATATACTTTAGAATGGCTATTTAAAAATAAAGAAATAAATATTTTTTATTCTTCGAAGAAACTTATAATTTTATTAAACGAACATAAAATATTATGAAAGGCGTAAATTTCTTTTAATTTGGAAAATGAGTTTCATTTTCTTTTAAAATTAGATAAACTGAATGATGAAAACATCCAAGCCATACATTCTATTATACATGAAGCTTTCAATATGCAAATTAAAATTTACTATTATAATACCTATTTTAAACAATGCGACTTGGTTAAGATATGCATCTAATAGTTAGAGCTCTATTTATTGTTATATAACATACATGTATGTTGTAATAAGTATTAGTAAAATAAATCTGCATGTTTAGTAAATGAATATTTTAAAATATAAATCGACATTTCTTTCTGCAATAAAAGCTTGTGTACAATTTTAATATATACTATCTAGTCAGAAAAAAAAAAGAGGGAAACATATAAAAAAAATTAGAAAAAAAGATTTCATAACAAGATAGAGTAATCTGTTGTTAAAGAGGATATTAAACAATAAATACAAAAACCTTTAACGACCTACAAAATTCGCTTTTTCCAGAAAATGGTGGAAATAATTTTTTCTTGTTATTCCTTCGTCACTATTATTATTCACCAGCTTCCACACTTTTATCTCTGTAAACATTTGCATCATTCTTTGGTCATTTTTTGAAAAATATTTAAGTGCAACTCTGTGTTAATGAACAGGAAATACAATTGCATTTTAAAGAATATTTTTACATGAATAACTAACTGTTATACTAATAATATATTTTATACATAACTTTATATACATATAAAGTCATTATAAAGAATTGTGTTGGAATGAATTAATAACTACCTTAAAATTAACTCTCATTTCTAGATTGCCATAGAAACACATCCAATGCTTTCTTTTTAGAAACTGTTTGCTTATAGAATGTATATTCAGATATTTATTTATTCATATATTTATTTCAGATATTATATATTATATTTCTTATATTCTATTATTTACATATTCACATATTTATTTCAGAATATACAATGTAACAATTATTTCTACGTTTATAAACTGAGACATTTATTTACCTGCTGGTATTACATTGAAAATGCACGGCACTTGTTGGTCGCCTACTCGATTTTTTGCCCAGCAGTATAACTTTCCAAAATCTTTCAGTGTCCTTGGTATGTATGTAGCAATGCTGGTTGGCCCGGAACTTGTGAATGAAAGAATGTCATGTTGCTCTATGCTGTTATTAAAATTCCACCTGAAACTGACGTCTGAAGGTTCGGCATCAACACTACATTCTACCTTAGCTGGTTCTTCTTTAGCCACACCGTAAACAATTTTTTGTCCTGCTCTACAAATTGGAGAATCTAGAAAACAGACAAAAAGAAATTCGCTCCAGAGAGAGTAATAATAATAATAATAATAATAATAATAATAATAAAAAGAATTACGTTAAAATCATTAATTCTCAATAAATCAATGTTTTAAATAAGATTGCTTAAGACAAGTGTTGGAAAAAGGTTTCTAATTTGCTTAGGAGATGGTAGTACTTGCAAGCTCCTTTCGTAATTCTATCTTGTTACTACGGATGCGCTCCCCGTGCGAAACTAAAATATGTTATCTCCTTAATATTTGTCGCAGTGATTATTACAGCGACATTATTTTATTTATTAAATATATTTTATTTATTTTAATGTGGTCCATCAGTAGCCGAGCGGTGAAATCGTTGAATACTGGTAGTTCAAATTGGGCTCGATTCCAAGCTAGTGGGCTAGCTGCAGGGGTACTTCCGCAGTTTTTTATATGTAACGTTGATAGGAACCACCCTAGTCCTCCACGGGGACATCACTCTTAGGCAGACAGCCCTAGCTTGCTTTGCCGTAAATAAACAAACAAACCAATTTATCTTAAAAAAATTGAGCGTGGATTTTATTAAATCCGTGCCTATCATCTACAATTAGTAAATAGATTATTTTATAAAATTTTCCGCTGATTGTATAAGATTTAATTTATTTTACTGTCCCAAAGATTTGCTCCCTGAATCCTTTTTAAAAAAAATAAGGCGATGATTTGCTCCCTGAAAATGCGTTTTTATAAAAATCTCGTTTTATAAGAGCAGTTTAATGTTTAAAAAATATATTTGAATATCATATATCAAATCAATTTACAACTTCGAGCTTAACTTTTATTTTAAAAGTAATCTTATTTACTTGAGGTACGTAAAAGATCTTTTGCAAATCACCTTCAAAAAATAAAGTGTTATCTTTGGTAAGTAACCCTCTTATATTCGGATGAATACGGTATTCATCATTATGCAAAAACATAAACAATAATTGCATGTTATAAATTCTCTTACAATTTAAAATTTATGCATAATGAACACAGTGATACAATTATTTGGAAAATTATTTCTCAAAGTAAACATTTAAAAATAATGATGGAATTCAAAAATTAATATCGTCGAGTTATCCAGTTCTGAAACGATTTAAGCTCTGTTTTGAATCCCGTTCTTGCAAGCTGAAGCAAATATCCGATAAAGTATTCACTGCTAAATTAAATTTCCGATTAATTCCGAAAATATAACTGGCACCTGAACTTTAACTTGGTCATTCATGGCTACATAATTTAATTAATTTTACCAAGGGTTATGCAATTTAGGGTTATTTTCTCTTGGTTTATCTCAGAAAACATCCTTTGCTATCCGCTACCCCAGGGTGTCAGAATCACTCACTTCCGTAAAAATAGATCAATTGTTAATCTATTGTCAATGGCTACATATGTGTGTGATTGTGTAGATAAATGCTTCATATGTGTTCGATTAAATAAAAATTAACAATATTGCTTGCTATTTACACAATACTGTTAGTGGAATTACATCCTTCCGTTAATAATGAATATTAATGGAATTACATATTGTAATGCGATAGATTTATACAGCCGAAAACACATTAAAGTCACAAGACATAAATTGACTTATTTTTGCACTGCTGTATTTATTTATTATTCAAATAAACCAATGTAAAATTAGATAGTATATTATTGTATGCTGATAGAAGCAAAGTTAACTTTAAATAAAATTTTTGAATAGCTGTTCTGCAGATCATATAGTCTTTTACGCTTAAGGGGTCAGGTACCTTTTGAATGGTAAAATATGTCAAAAAGTTACTCAAATTACAAGTGATGTATCTCCAAAACTAATAGTCCCATAAAAATGAAATTTCTAACACATATAGTAGAACCCTTACTTATGTGTTTAAGATTACTAAATAAGTCATGTGCATTAGTAAAACTTTTAAATAAATATTTTAATGTAGAGCCCCTTTTTTATAGCTAAAATTTGGACATTCACTGCGCGCAGCATTGCAACTATATAAAGCATAAGAGGAACCCAATTTTTTTTGATATGGTAGAAAAATAATGTATCTTTAAAATGACTGAGATTTATTTTATTCAAATGTTCCTTTCCTGCAAAATGTTTTAAAAACAAAATTCAAATTTTATCAAAATTTTTAGGCATAAATTAGCTACAATTTTAAACTTTTTTTACATAAGAACCATTTTGGTTCGTCATATTAAGCATATCTAGCATATAAACATCCATGTAAAATTTGGTGCACTTTGGATTAGCCGTTTCAGAGAAATGCTGCGCGCAGTGAGTAAAATCATAGTTTTGAGAAAATTGACTTCAAAGATAAAAGTATGTTTTTGTCAAACAAATATGCATTATTTAAGAAAACTAAGTGTTCATATTAAATCAAATACATGATATAATTATTTATATATGGATACTCAAGTATAAAAACATCTGAAAACAAAATAAGTTCACACAACTCATGAAAATATGAAACGAAAACTTTAACGCGATGACGAGAAAATTTACAATTTTTACACAAACTCATTTTTTATTCAGGCTAGTCATTTGGAGATTAATTTTTTTCATACTGAGTGGTATTTGAATAAAATTACTTAAAATTCTCTAAAATTATATAATACACGTTGTAAATATGGACAATATAAGTTATTGTCCAAAAACAAAAAAAATGTAAAGCGTATATATTTAAAATGCACCAGGTGAATATGTTTTGCCTTCATGTAACAACACAGTCTCTGCCATAGCCTTTTGTTTATTTCTCTTTTTCTTACGCATTTCTTTTGTGCTTTGCAAATGGCGTAATTTACTAGTTTTCACATGTTGCTCGTCTAATTTACATAGACATGCTCAACTACACGAACCAACTGACAGCCCAAGTTCCGCCATAACTTTTAATCTTCCCTGATTACCTTCATTGTGAAGTATTGTGGCTTCACTCGTTGCTATTTCAGCAATTCTTCTTCCTGAACCAAGGGTCTTGGAACACAATTTCCAAATCAAATTATTTAAAGATTCATTGCAGTTTTGTGTCTTTCCGCCAAGACATCTTTGCAATAGTGTCGGTTGTGATAAATCATTAAATATTGGTTTAATAACATCCATAACACAAAAAGGAAGTGTTGGTTTATGTCTGAATTCCCTCACAGTTCCATTAGCTACAGCTTTTTGGTATTTACACCAAGTATTGGGACCTATTAGGACAAAAACGTATGCAGCGGTTCAATATCAGTTGACCGTGTGTGAAAATAGATTGCCCATGTAGCATTACGAAATTTCCGCCAAAGAAGTTTCGTCTGTTCTCGAATTCACATTACCATAGTAAAGCAGTCAATTTTGTCAATTTGTGTATCAGTCAAGCGACCTTTTCCTTCCAATTGATTTTCCATCTGCACATTTTAATACCTTTCTGTTTCAAGTTTCTGAGCCGCGTTCCCATTCTCTTCTGAATATGACCAACACATTCGATTTTAGAAACGGACACATCAGAACCATAGGGCTGGGCCTTCGTTATAGACTGAAAACGTCTTGGAATCTCCATCCGCCTATGTATCCAACATATTTTAACATCGTGCTCTCGTTTCTGACCGCTGCAAAAATCTGAACCATACCGACGACCTCCAGAACCATTGTGATTCATAAGACACTCCGCTTCATGTTTTATTTTCCAGTTATCGTACTCTGGTGTACCTTTCATGGAATTACATGTATCACATGTCTTACAAAAAGATGAAAGAACCTCTGTGTCGAGAACCTTACCACTTTTGTCTCCAATAACGTTACACACACCTATTCGTGATGTGTGTCCCCTGGTTTTCAATGAACCATCGCCGCTAACCACAACATTTGAAGAACCCGTTAGCTGAACTTCTTCGCAAGCAGCATTTTTCATGGATTGTTGTGCCACATTACTTGAGCACGTCATAAACTTCTTTACTGTAGCATTGTATGCTTTTTTTGATACTGGGTGTGGAAGATCCATAATGCCACAAAATAGTTTCATTGCTGAGTAGCCCATTCCAATTGTTCGCATGGCATAAGCATAACGTATGCTAATTTCAGCACAGTTGTTCTTCTTACCAATCATTTTTGAACTTTTAAATGTACGCAGTTCTATACAATTTCCACAATTTAAAGAAAATTTCGAACTTAGTCCACACACAACTTCTTCTTTTATAGTGACATCACTGCCACATGTTTTGCAGCACAGTTCTTTTTCGAAACAAGAAATCATTACATTCAAGTCCAAGATCCTAAAACCTTTAAAATCATCATTAGTTTCATTTTCCAACTGCTTATTAGAAAGTTTTATTTTCTTTGCAGAAGCACTCACCTTCAGTTCTGCAGTAGAGGACTGGCAATGCTTTCGCGTGTGGATATTACCAGTAAATTTTCTCTTTTTATTTCTACTGCCAGATGATCGTTTTTAGGTGTCAATCTACATTCTATCGTATTCATATTGATCTTAGGAATGACTTTTCAATATCAATATTTAATTATATTATTAAATGAAGGGAAATATAAGAAGAAATCTATCACAGAATACAGAACACGTTGTAAAATTCGCAAGCAAAACAAACTGAATGAATGAGTAAAAGTTAAAGTTAATATAATCTTCTAGAAAAAGCAATGAGAATTAAATAATTATTAAATACATCTATTTCCAAGCCATCCCAAGAAAAAAAATGTTAGATTGCTTTTATAAATGGAATTTATCGCCACTCTTCACGAGCGCAGCTGTAAATATCCAGCTGTCAAAACAGGTAAACAGACGCCTCGATCCTGACTTTTGAAAATTGGGTTTCGGTTCTTCCTCGATATCTTTCGTTCTAGTGGGAATTTTTTTATGCGGTTTGTTTTAAAATGTTGCTATTAGTTAGCTCTTTAATATAAAACAATAAAAAAATTTTTTTTACCTTAAAAGGGTACCTGACCCCTTAAGGATCTTGAATTTAATACAAACCGTACAGCAAAGATATTTGATATCTAAATGATATT